AATAAAGGAAGAATAATTAAACAGGTTATTATCGGGTTCATAAAATTGAATAATTATTGAGAGATAGTAATAATTTGTATCCTCAATATGTCACATGAGGCATGCCAATTTACAAGCAAGACTAAGTTTTACAAATGCCACAGGCTTTACTTTCTTAGGTTGCTCAACTGTGTTGATGTCTTATCAGGCACATGAGCGATATAAAAAGGGAATAAATTTTCATATATTAGAATATCAATGTTAGTATGACTCTAATGTCCAATATGAGCATTGGCGCGCTTTGAGGGTATGGTGTTTAGACAAACAGGGCACAATCAGGCCGTTACGCCATGGGTTTTCGCGCATATGCAACATATTATCGAGGATTTCGGGATGTCATTATTCATCAGGTATTAAAAGTATTTTCCGTCTCACGTTAATTTTCGTAATGTTTGTGATTGTTACATGACATTTATTGCAGTTTATTAGTAGTTTTACATATTTGTTGCTAATAACCCGTGTGAATATTTAGTAAGCTAAGTGTGGTTATTTGTAACATTACTAATTTAGGCTAGTAAAATTCAGCGTTTATCAAGTCAAAAAACAGACCGTGTGCTTTAAGAACTTTTGCATTTATTTTATGTCCTTAATTAAGGTGGTGTTGAACGTGGATGTAGGTAACTGTTTGTAAACTGTAGGTTGAAGAAATTACGCATGGTATAAAGTAAACTAATAACATAGTGAGGCGTTCATAGTTATATGATGGGGATTTGAAGCTCTCAGCGTATGATACGACACAACCCTAGAAGAACTAGAATCAAATAACAAGTATCAATGAGTTAATTCTTGAATTCCTACTGCATTACAGACTGACTGGGTATAAATCCAAAATAATTCAGGCCTAATACTTGGTGAAAATTGAACGAGCAATCCAACCTAAATCACAAATTTCAAACACTCACATCTCCTTTCTGGCCAAGAAACTCAGTAATAAGACAAACATTGGTAAAGTATTCAAATATTCAAATATGACTTGTGTAGATAAATAACGTTTAATCTGGAGGACAAATTCACCAACAGATGGTCGATTCTTAATAATGGCAAGCACGTACTACATAGGCATATATTGCTTTTGGCTATGCTGACGAGTGGACACTAACGTTCTTTTCTAACTGTTTATAACTTGTGGTCATGTTGATCATCTTTTTACCCATATCGGAATTATATGCAAAAATGAGCTAAGAAAACATTTGCAATTCATGCACCTCCCTAATTATGGTAGTGTTGAACTTGGATGTTCATACCTGTTTGTTAAATGCAGGTTGCAGCAAGGAACTTTGTATAACATTACTACGAGTGCAACATTAATCAGTCACATTTTTGTCATAAGTCTAACGATGCCTGTTTGTTGTGAGCATGTTAACTAAACCAAGTTTAATTACCAATAATTTATGATGAGTCTGTTGTGAGGATAATTAGTGAATTTCTAATAACGGAATCCGGCATCATTAATGAATAGCACTGCTTACAAGTACGACACTTATAGGTACATTCTGTCACCTGCTATTTGATTGAATCATTGCATTTGATACTGACAAGCAGTTGGTGGTCGAGAATTAATAGGATTAAAGTCCAGGGTAGCCACTCAAAAACGTTAGATTGGGTGCATTGGCTCGGGCTTCTTGATGGTGATCCCAGATGAATTCCCAAGGTAAAAGTGATGGCGCAGGACAAAGTCGTATGTTCCACAGATGCTTTCGGTGGTATAACATGAGGGAACTGAAAAACAAAAAGGGAGGTGCGGAAAGCATAACGGACAGTGTTCATGACTAGTGAAGTTTAATCATTTGTAACGAAACAGCTAGGATATTACCACTTAAACTCATTCTCTTTTATTAGGTAAGTTTCTAAGCAATCATATTTAATCAGGTTAAAGAAAAAAACCACAGTATGGTGTTCAATGAGCAAAGTAATGTACACGTGAAAACGGTTCAAAAGAGCTAAAAGTTCAGGATAATGTGTATTTTTTAAATTTAGTGAGGAAAATAAAGTGTTCGAATGCTAATTTGCTTATTCTTTGTCAAATTTATTATAACTCATTTTTATTGCTATAACATTTGTAGTCATAAATGGACTCGTAACATAATAAATGGGTGACTGATATCAAAAATGAGTCACAATTTGAAAGTCACAGTGTTAGTGACAGCTAGAACTGATATATTTATTGTGTGCTTTGTCGCATCCATAGATTCTACCACCAGAGCACCACACTAAGAAGTAAACATCACGTTACGTGCTTTTTATGTTTGTGAGGTGACATGTAGAAAGAGCAAGGATGCAGACAGAGTCGAAGCAATACATATATCCTATACCTTATGAGGAATCGACCGTATGATTCAACATATATTCACTGAAAATAGATAGGGTTGAAGGGAATATTGGGAAGTAATCACGCAAATACGGAATGGGGGACGAGGTTGTTCCAGGCATTTTGTGGCTACATTTCTGTGTTGAGTATGAACTCTAATAATTAGACTGAGGGTGCGAATAGGCCGTTAAATCAAAAGCCTAACAAATACCAGGGAAGGGATGGATATAATTTAGTATCATAGTTAAAGTTTTTAAATTTGTCAAGGAACTCTGGCTATTAAGTGGTAAGTGACTGTATCTTGAATCCAGAATAAAGTCCATCATTTTTGTGGTTTCGGAACAGTTTCTTCGCTGAGATGTGTTAATGAAAAATCTTGAGAAAACGTCTTTGCCATTTTAGTCTCCTACTGTCGGCGATGGTGTCAAATGATACTACCCCAAGTTACTTAGATAACTACGGACTGCAATTATGTTACTGTTTTACGTCATGCACATCTTGAACTCGAAAGACTGGTCACGAAATGCTAAATTATTTCATCAGAATCAGGTTTAACGATTCCGATTGGACTAATTGTAGCGCGTGCAGAAGCTTGTCCATTTTCGGTATGCATTGTTATTTTATCCCTTTTACCTATCAAGTATGACCAAGATTGTTGAGGCATTATTCTTTCAATAGGTTGTGGGATGTCTTGGATACCAAGTTACATGACATAGACTATGTGATCGTTAAAATGTTAGATAGTTTCGGTGTAAGAGTACCCGAGTTAGGTGGCTAAGAACTCTGGCTAATTGTATAGAATATTTGAAAAAATAGTTGGTCAGTATTGCTTAGCTGCCTTTGTTCATCATTATCGATTCCCTTTTCTCTGCTTTTTTCATACATGAGCACTTGTAGAATTATGGTCTACTATGATATTAGTACTACGCTAATAATAGACCTGATCCTAAAATTGTGAACTAATCATGATGTAATTGCTTAATCTATAAGATCTGACATGGAATTCACATAACTGTCTACACTGACCCATCGTATCGTAACAATTATCAATGTATGATGGAGAACACATTTAGGCTGGAGATAGAACAATATATTTTATATGAGTAGAAGATATAAGGTAACATCCAATAGAGACCACGCCTGCAAGGCAAAGCCATGCCATTCGGTCAACTCGATTTAATTCGATTCCTTCTTCCCGCCTTCTCCATAGTTGGGATTTTCTCCGCGTTAAATATTGAATATCAAGTTTCCTAGTTGTCTAGTAATCAGCGTTAGGGATTGTGTGGTTAGGGCCCTTTGCTACTACACGCCAGCTGTTTAGACATTCCATGAAGTCATTATGACATCTCATATCGTCCGCTGAGATTTCACAGAGCGCAGGAGCCAAGACATTTTTATTTCTTATACCAAAACTATGTACCATGTCTCTAGCTGTCCTTCGATCAGTTTAAAGAAATGTCTAAACGCATTATAATGATAGCCAGCAGTATACTTGAAGTCCATCCATTGAATTGTGTTTACTTATAACTAGCAGATAACCATCTCGAACTTCGAAATTGCTGGAACTTACCCTCTATTATCTCACTCGAAAATATGCAGAAGTTAAAATAACTTGGTTTCAGGACATTGTGTGATTCAGTTATGGTGTTGATATCAAAGTACTTTTCTATGGCTGAGCTATACAGTCCCAACTGTAAGTCAAAGTTCTGTCAACTGTAAATTCAAACTCATCATCACCACATATCTTGCTGTCCGTCAAAATATAATCGTGCATTTTGAACGTGTGATTCAAGGAGCATTTTATGCTTTAAAAAAATAAAGAAAAGTGTGATGCTCGTACGAACTAATGATTCCTTTGTACTTGATGATTGCCTAATTTCGGACTCCAAATACAATACTTTCGTTTGTGCCCATCTAGTCGTTTTTGGTTATTTCTGGGATTCATAGTTTGCACAATAATTTAAATACTTTTAATAACCACAAAAAGCCTTCACAGCTTTAAATATAATATAACTTTAGTGTTTAAGTTAATAATCTGAAGAAAAGCAAGTTGGTTTTAGGAGATGTGTTGAGAGGAAAAATAATACTTTTTTTCAGAACGTAGTGACTCAAGAGACAAAAAGATCAGTTGGATATTTATGGATAAAAACACTGTTGAGAGCACCATGATAATTTGGACAATGGTACTACTTAATGTCAAAAAATGTGCAATAAATAGACTTATTTCGACAACAAAGACCAGAGAAAACTGATGGCGGAAATCAACGTCACTGTTGTGACTATTAACAGAAAACAGAAAGTAAAAAAAGGTAAAAATATGGCATTGCTGGTCATTCTACGGACTGAGTACTTTTCTTCCTACGAACAGCTGAGCCTCAGACTTCACTTCATTCTATAGTACTTCAGATAGTTTCGTTTGAATCCTTCAGAATTCGCTCTCACTGAATGGGACACAAAGATGAAAAATACTACAATCTTAGACATAAGGTTAAATAGGGACAAGTTCGAGTGTCTTTGTTCACAATTATTGTAACCCTTATTCTGTTTTACCTGTTCAATATAACAAGCAACCTTGAATTGCCATGTCCTGTGTATCTGTGCCTCATTCAAAATACATGGGTTTCTTTCGATTTACTTCATAGCTGATTAATTAATGATGAAAAACAGATTCGAACCAATATCATGTCCTGTTTGCTCAAAAAACGTTTATTTTGCAGAAGAAGTAAGGGCTATGGGTCGTGCATTTCATAAACAATGTTTCAAATGCTGTAAGATTATGGCCTTTGACTGACCTTCGTTATAGGTCAATGTTCCAAAGCTCTAGACAGTTTTACTGCAAATGATCACAAGGGTACTTTGTACTGCAAAAATTGCTATGCAAAGAACTACGGACCAAATGTCTATGGTTTTTCAACGAATAGCACACTAATGAGAAGTACTTATGATCTTCGGTAAGTAGATTTTTTCTTTCCATCTATGGCGATCTTCAACTGTTTTGAATTTTCCTCCTTGTAACATATATAAAATATCACCGGTAATAACAATTATTAAAACAGTTTAAGACATAATCTCCGGCTTCAAGTTTCCTCTTGAAAGCTTACTTGTTTTGTATAATGGCATACACTGGTAATTCGATAATTCCGAACATAAAAATTAGTGATTCACTATGTACATTCACACATTTGTGACACTGCATTCTGTCAGGATGTGAGAAAATAATCTAAGTTCAAAGACTGAAATATATTCTCAATTCATAAATGCTTTTACTCTGCTGACCTACTGTTTTCTAGACAAGACTAAATGAACTTACAAAGATAAAAGCCAGTATATTGTAATTAGCAATCTAGAGGGCCTTGAATGCAGAAGTAAGCAGGTGCAACGATCGCCGCTCTTGAGGTCCGTTATTGACGATGTTCAGTACATACCAAACAAGTTATTTACTGTAACTACATGAATATCTTATAGTGATGTTATTTGTCATTCAGTAATCGTCTATCAATACGCATTGTTTATGAATTTCTGAATCTTTATGCAATTTGAAGTGAAGGTTTGTTGGTAGTGTTTTAAGTATTTTATGCAATTATGAAATAATTTAGGTTTACCAAACTTTTAAGTGGAAACATTTTTAGTACGTTTTTGAACCTTTAAAGGAGCAAGTAAATAGAACTTCTTAAGTTTGCTTGGTAAGTAATCGAGATTTCCAGCTTCCTTATCTTGATTTTGCATCTTTTCCATAATGTTCATCAGTTTTAAAAACTAGTACACACAAAAGAACTTGAGAAAAGCTCAAAAATGACACCTCAAATGATAGTTACTATCATCAAAATTGATCATGAATAAGTTAACTTAATAATTGTAATATAGTAGAATATTATTTAAAACTGTGTCTAAAACTAAATTTGTCTAAGTTCCTGGCAAAGCGTTAATGGGCGGTAAACACTATTGTGGTAAACTTAAATGCTCTACACACCGTTTACGACACCAATCACTTATAAGAACTGAAAAAAACTTGGTTCGTAACATCTGTGGTTATGTCATTTTGATAATTATGTCGTTCGAGCAGTTGCCTGTAATTTCAGTAAGGTTCATGCTTTTCCACTAGATGGATTATGAGGGGATGATTAGAATGCATACACAGTGTGGAAGAGAGAGTTTATCGGCTATGTTAATAGCAGTTGGAAGGGCGTTTTTAAATTTACACTGAATGAAAAATCAGCAACTGGTTTCGTCTCAAAAATAAAGACTTGAAAATATTATTTGAATGGAGGGTGATGAATACAGATATCTGACCGCAATCATGTTCATCACCCACCAATAAATACTAGTCTATGTTGTGTCGGAAAGAAACCTTTTCTCTGATTACAAAACAGAGGCATGAAAACAATTTCAAATTCATGTATATTTCTTTATTGAATCAAGGAACACAGGGTCTTAGAAAGCTGTATTTACCCGGTATTTTTATCAAACGTCTCGCTAAGCTTATGAGAGATATTTTGATTCTATAAAGTTTTTGTGGTGAAACTTATAAACTAAAGCCTAAATAAATAAGGTTAAGTAGTCTAAAGTGGTCGATGTGAAACTTTGTCCAGTCTAAGTTTCATGTTAGTTGATATCCTTCAGCAAAGTGCTTCTGCAACTTTGGATGAACCGATACTTTAATTAGAATTCTCAAATTTACTGACTTTGTTATACGTGTTTAGTTGTTCAAACTGCAGAGGGTATGACAAGTTTGAGCCTAAAATGTGTTGTCTAAACTTTTTAACTAATAACTTTCCACTGTATGTCAATGTGACAAAAGGACAAAACCAATAATTTCAGAAAATTTATGTTTTAAATTACATAGATAATAAAATAAAATTCGTTTTTTTAAGACATTAGACCACATATTGGAGATTTCAATTTCTAACCAATGAGCTACTGAGTGAAATTTTATTATACTAGAATTTAGGCAGTTGAATAGTATGATCAACTCTCTTCAAAAAAGGTCTCCCAATAAAGTGTAGCCGAAACTATGGGTGTATATTATTCAGCATTTATTTATTTGAACACGTAGATATTGGTACAAGAAGACACCAAATACATATGCATCACACAAATCTCATTTGATATGTGTGAGGGCTGTGATACTGCCTAGGTGCCCAAACCGAAGCAGGTGGTTTTCTCAGGTGGCTACATCCAGAGCCTTCTACCTGAAGGTCTGATCCACTAGGCAGTGGAGCATCGTAAGAAGATGCAGTCCCATGGTAGCCAGTGACCAACAATAGGTTCATACGCCATTTGTTCCTTCAGGGTATTGGAGCCCATGTGCACCATTGTTTTGGAATGAAGGTTTTCCGACTCCCCTATGTGGACTCAGCATGTCCACCAATCCGGTTAAAGCGCCGGACAATCGCTTTTTGTCCTCTCATTTTCGTAAACAACACCCCCGCCAGGAAAGGGCAGTGAGTAGGACTTCCCTGGCAGAGGTTATATACACGTGGCCATGTGAGAGCATTTCGAGAGGTAGAGCGAGCTCTCCCCACTCTTGTCCGTACCAAGGCATTTGGAGGCATTATTCAGTATACATCTATTCATGTTCTGTCTAAATTGGGAAAAAATGTTAAGCTATAAAACAATTAAATCACAATATCCAAATAATTCTGAATTTTCAAATCATAAAAGATATTTGTTATATCAGTGAACAAGTATAAAAACTAATTCGGGGAATAAAATAGTTTTTTTCGATGATTTTATTTGATTAAGCAGTACAATCGTATATATAGTTAGTTTATCCACTCAGAATAGCAGTCTATAATAAAACAAAATAATGTCGAATACTGAGAAACATTTAAGTGATATCGTGCTATAACTTATTTGAAAATACCAGATATTGGAAGGAAATTGCGTAGTGGTTTAGATGTGCAGTGCGTATTTCCATCTGCCAACTACCTAGAAACGTAAGGATGGCTGATATAGGAGTAGGTTGGAAAAAATCTAGGGAAAGCCAAACTAAGAAATAGCATGAGTTCACGGAAACACTGATTGTTGAATTCAGTCATGTAATTAGGTGTAGACTACCTGATTAAAGTTCGCATGGCCATTGTAGTTACTTTTTGGGTACTTCTGGTAGCACTGATCAAAATCATTCACATATGCAATGGTGTATTCACTCGTAGTCTTTCTTTAGACCTTGAGTTTCTACTTTCCCCAAAACCTCTACATTATTTCACAAATTTATATTTTCTTCCAGAATCAGGTCTTTGGTGCCTAGTCTTCTTTGTAACTATTAATAACGTAACTACCTTCACTGCTCTATTATTTACTATGAAGATTCCATTTTGTTGCGTTAAGAGAGTATGGCAACTTATACTGATATACACATGCTCCACATTCTACGTTTCTTTTGACTGAATGGCAGCAATAATCAAAGGGCTTATGAACAATTTAAAGTTGGAGACAGCTGTTCGCTTGATAGATGTTAAGGACGGAAATATGAATACTGGTTCATCCATTTCATTCTGATCACTCTGCATCCCCATAATTTTCCTTTGAAATTATTCATGCAGTCAGAAGAATCGGTTTAAAAGGAATACAACTGAAAAAAACTTACGTTTAGCAGGGAGTACAACTATTCATCATTTATGGTATCTTTTGGTGAAGTAGAAATATTTGATTTAGTGATATTCATCAGAAACTGACATCAGGGGACTAAAGTCATTACCATGAGAGAAGTAGATTATTTTTATTTATTATTTACTCGAACACATTAATATTAGTAGAAAAGGGCACCAAACATATGCACCACACAAGTCAATTGATTTGTATGTGAGCTGTGATACTGCCCGTGTGTCCAGGTCGAAGCACGTGGTTTTCTTAGGGGATCACACCCAGAGCCTTCGACGTAAAGACTTGATCCACAAAGCAGTGGAGCAACGTCAGGAGATGCAGTTACATGGTAGCAGGTCACCATCAATTGGTTTATACACCATTTGTTCGCTCAGGATCCTGTAGCCCATGTGCACCATTGATTTGGAATGAGGGTTTTCCGATTCCCCTAGGTGGAACCTCCTTGTCCACCAACCCGGTTTATTCCCCTGTCGGAAATTCACTTTTCGTCCTTTCGACTTCGTAAACAACACTCCCATCGCTAGAAGGCAGTGAATAGGACTTCCCTAGTAGCGGCTGTATACGCGTGGCCATGTGAGAGCGTTTGGAGAGGGAGAGCTGACACTTCTCAATCTCAACCGTACTAGGGCATTTAGAGCTGTGGGTTACTTACTCGTCTTATCCTGAACATATTCACCATGCAAAACCTACACATTATACAGTAGTTGTCCTCAGTGGTAATCAGCTAAGAGACTAAGTTCGCAAGGTTCTAATCTTTAAAGTTGTGCACGTTAGAAACGAAACATTTATTAGCTCAAAACATTACTGTTCGTTTAAGTTCTGTATATACTTTAAGGCGATGAACAGATATGATAACCAGGTAGATGAAACCGTGAAATTACTTCCATTACGCACTTTCTAGTTGACCAATGATTATCCCTCTGGTGTGAAGGAGAATATAGGTGAGGACAACCGATTATATCTGAACACTAAATTACAGAATACTGTACTAAAAACTGAGAACCATACTTCATTTGCAAAATGTCAATCAATTGTCTTAAACTTGCCTGTTCCTCCATTTCCATACCAATCGCGTTCTGTTTCCTTTCTTTCCTTCACTATTTTCTCAATCTTCTACTGCCAGACTCGCGCTATACACTACTTACGTCGATATAAGTAGCACAAATCACACCTCAACTTAGGCGCAATTTATTTGTTTTTTTGTACACCATTATAAATTTGGTAATTTAAATACTTCTTTGAAGAAAGTTACATCCATAATAATACAAGACAACTTACTCAGTATTCTAAAAAGGTTTGTAATGTTTCAAGCATGACAAATGTTTAACTCTATCTTATCCAACTTGGTCAATAGATTGGTCATATTAGTAGCATTCAAAGCGATTAATTAAACATTTTTCATATGAAGTTCATTCTTGTCAGTCAGCTACAACGTAGGACCACGTGCATATATGCATCGGTTCAAGTTGTCATACCTCATTAGAACAACAAGATCAACACCGGATTCATATAAGCAGTTACATCAATGGTGGTAATATATAAAAGAAAGATGGCATATAAAGACATAGCACAGGAAGAAAGAATTAGTTCGTAGAAAGAAAGATATGAAGGGATTTTAATCTCATCGTTTAATGGAAGACAGAGAGTTTATACACCTACACCATTGTGATCGATTCTGAGCCACGTCATCCAGAGTCTTCAACAATTAGTTACGACAGTCACTTACTTAGGACAGAAGCTATAATGACTCAAGCTAACAACATCAGAGTTCGTATTCAAAAAAGGTCCCGAATGCCTCAGTCCTTTTCTTTAGCTGAAATCAAACCTAACAGTCAGTCAGTCAGCAACAACGTAGAACCTCGTACGTTCGTACATCGGTTCGAGTTGCCATATTACATTAGCACAGAGATGCAGTGGTCGATTCAAATCCCATAGTGGTAGAGATAATAAAAGTATAAGCAGTTATCGGAAACATTAGGGTTTGAAGATGTTATTTAAAGAGTATAAACCAGTGAAATAAATTTGGAAAGAAAATAAGGGACATGAAGAATTGAGAAAATTGGAATTTGGGAGAACACAAAGAATGGATGCACCTGCGCCACTGCAAACGATTTCGAGCCATGTCACATCCAAGCTCTCTAAACATCGGTTGCTATCGTTTCGCAGATCCCAACCATAAAGTCTACACCTACCAACATGTTTCAGACCACTTGCCAGTGACATCATGGATTTATGACATGTTTTGATCTGGCCGCTCCTAGCTTTCTCCCAACCTACTCCTACACCAGAAAACATCGCTCGTCGGAGCAGTCGGTGGTTGGCCATATGTAACACATGTCCCAGCTATCCTGACTGACGAATTTTCACTACTTCATCAATTGATTTGCCATCCTTACCTAGTACCCATTTCCTAACAACTGCATTACTTACTCAGTGGTCCCAGGATATACGAGCAATGTTTCGACGACACCGATGATCGAATACTAGTAACGTAGGAATATCCTCTACTCTTACCGACCATGTTTCTCAGCTATAAAGTAGGACGGAATGAACTGCTGCGCATTAAACTCTTTCTTTGGTTAGTAGACGGATATCTCGTCTACGTCATAAATGACACAAGTTAACAAAATTTAGTCGAGCCTTCTGTATCCGTTCCGAGATTTCGTCAATATCTATCATTTGTTAGTTCCTATTCTCCTCTTTAACATTTATATGCATAAATTGACTGTTTGTTTCTTCAAACTTTGACCTACTTCTTATTTAAGTAGTCTTATTAATACTATCATGCTCTTTACTATTCATTCACAATTAACACGCTTGTCATTTCACTATCAACGTGTACCTACTAATTATTATGATGAATCACGTATTCTATTTCATTGTTATCATTGACTTCCGAATTACTTTGATTAGTTTGTTATTTCTCAAATGTGCATATATATTCACTAGATATTATTTGCTTATATCTTATCATGGTTGTTTAGGACTTCAATTGATCAGTATCTCATTGGCATATGTGCATCCTGTGTGGATCGCCTTAAATCACAAGCTTTATAAGCAAAGATGGGTGGTGTTTAGCAATGGAATCAAGTTCGCACGTTTCGTTCTATTTGGAACTCGTCAACTAGATGTACTTGCATCTTATAATTGATGTTTACTCTGGGACTCGAACCCAGTACCATTCACTTCAAATGAATAAACCAAGTGAATAACACAATGAACTTTAAAGTGAACGGTACTGAGTTCAATTCCCAGAGAGAACATCAACTCTGGGTTGTAGATACATGTAGATGTAAAGTTCCAATTAGAATGAAACATGCGTCTTTGATCCCACTTCTAGCCACCATCCATGTATATATATATTCATGTATATTAGAGTAAAGTCCGATGATGATCTAGTACAAAACAATATTGTTCGCTTATATGTATTGTTCTAATCTACATACTACTGAAATTGTTAATAATAAAAAAACACACAATTTGTTTGATAACTGGTTTAAAGTAATCATTTGATCTGATAGATATGCCTTTACAAAACTAGTATACTACTTAGTACATTAGATAAGCGACTCAAATAGCTACAATTGTCTTGTATTAAAACGTATGACAACTTGAGTTGTTATTGATCTTAATGGCATGTTTTCATTCTGGTACTAATTAATGAACATTGTAATTTCTTTCCAAAGTCAAGAAATATACTTTCTCAGCTAGATAGAAGTTGTTATTCATAATTGAACCGTAATTCAATCACTCTTGTAGATCATTTAGTCTAATCATCACAATTAACTTTCGACAAGTTTTCTGTTTATGAAATCCGAAGCAGGTGGTTTCTTTAAGGGACCATATATCGATCGTTTGACTTAAAGGTCTAATCTACAACGCAGTGGGGAAACGTTGGGAGATCCAGTTTCATGGTAGTCCGTCACCAACAATTGGTTCATACGCCATTGGTTTTCTTGGGATCCTGGATCCCATATACACCAATGGTTTTGGATGAGAGTTTTCCAACTTCCCTCGGTGGATCTTCCATATTCACCAACTCGGTTAAAGCACCGGATATTCGCCATTTGTCCTCTCAGTTTCGTATACAACACCCTTTCCACGAGAAGTCAGTGTGTAGGACTTCCCTGGTAATGGTTGTATGCACGTGGCCATGTGAGAGCATTTGGAGAGGGGAGCTGGCTCTTCTCACACTCGGTCACACCAGGGCATTCGGGAACGAAGTAGTACTTAGAAAATACGTAAATGAGAAAATGTAAAAGCAACGACAAGGCAAGTGAAAAATGTAATTCCTGACGAATTTCAGGGCTGTACTAATCTGTATTGAAGTTTGTAAATTCATGTTTTTATAACTTCCCTCCACAGTGTTTTTCAGCAAAACAGTTTATATATATATTAATGAATAAATCAGAGCAATAAATGAGGGTGGAATTCATAGCAAACTATAATTACTCATCATTTAAATGAGAATGGTTGTCTAAATGTATAACTGAATCTCTTTTTATATAACGCCCATTTTTTGTTCATTAACTAAATACAATAATATGAGAAAGGGGTTCTGTTGAGGTTGCAATAATTGAATAGTTAAGATCATGAGTCAACTGAAGTTAGACCATCATGGAAAATCTAGAAGCACTGGACGGCTGTTTCGTCTTATTATGGGACACTTCAGCAACGTGCATCTACGATCCCACCTCAAGAGATTTTAACCCAGGACCTATTGGTCTCGCAACCGAACACTTAACCCCTAGACTACTGAGCCAGCTGGCATCCACCAGTGTTAATATTTAACTTCAATCAATCCACAAAATTGAGCCACCGTTCACCATTGTCATCAGTGAGTTAATATGTTACAACAGACTCGGTTGAACTTTAATATTCATTGCTTCTCATTAGAACTCCAGGAAATACCTCTTGGAAACCTTCACCAGTGAGCATATGATAGTTATAATTAGAGAGGAGTCTTGTGAATCGTAGATACGCACTACTGAGGAGTCCCATGTTAGAAGGAAACGGCCGTCCAGTGCCACCAGGTTTTGACATTATAACTGATGTCAGTTCCTGATGAAAATACCAAATCTAATTCCTAACTGTAAAGTTTAATCATAAATCTGAATTGTAATTCCTCACACTAATCTCTAACCCTAGTCATTAGATAGACGTTCCAAGATCATTTTAGTCCATAAATTACAGTCTCAACAAAAGAATTAATCCTTCTAGAAATCTTCAAAAAATATACCTCTATTTTAATGGAGTTTTGTTCTTTGAGCTGGATTGTTTGGTCATGAAGCTTTCATCGTTCTTCTGAGAAACATCATCAGCACAAACTTTAGGTAGAAGTGAAGTGTTCGAATTTCTACACATATAGTTCACAACTTGTACTGTAGATCTTCAGTGTGAACCACATGTGTAGAAATTCGAACACTTCACTTCTACCTAACATTTGTACTGATGATTTCGTTCAGAAGAACAATGAAAGGTCCCATGATCAAACCATCCAGCTCAGAGAATAAAACTCTAACAGAATTCATCTAAATGAACTACAAATCTTCTCCAGTATCTCACTATCCCTCTGTTTCTATTTTTTTTGTTACTATTCTACAGAGATTGTACTAAAATGAATGGTTATTCACATTCTCATAGTCCAATGATAAAGTAAGTCTTTCATTATCTTAATCTAGTCAATATATAGTCAATCACAAGATTATCATTCACAAGATCGTTTAACTCATATAGAACATAGTGGTAATTATATTCCACGTCCATTTCGTATACGATGGTCTAGTGGAAATTGTAATTCAACACGTTGTGCAAATTGTTCAGATATTGTTTATGCAAATGAAAGAATAGATGCAGTTGGTAAAGTATTTCATCGTTTATGCTTTAAATGTAATGATTGTCAACGTCTTCTTGATCGTGGTACTGCATGTGATCATAATCGTGAAGTATTTTGTCATAGTAAGTTAATAGTTTTTTTTGTGTGGTTTTTTTTGTCATAACAATTATTTGTTTATGGATGACCTTTGAACGAATCTTAAGTGATCTTGAGAAATCGGTTCAATCGGTTCATGAACTCAATCAAAAACTTAATGCTCACTAGTGACTAGCTTCATGAAGGAATTCTCGGAGTTCTAGTGAGAAGCCGTGACCAATGAAATGAATCCGTATCAGGTAGAGACAGGTATCTATCTCAGTACAATGAAAGATGGTCACGCAATTTCGTGGATTGGTATAAGATAGACACTAACACCACTGAATGCCGGCTCAGTGGTCAAGTAGGTTAGGCGTTCGCGTGCGAGACTGAAGGCCCTGGGTTGGAATCCCACGAGCGGGATCGTGGGTGTGCACTGCTGAGGAGTTCCACAATAAGACGAAACAGCCATCCAGTACTTCCAGGTTTTCAATGGTGGTGTAACATCAGTCGGTTTATGATCTCAATCAAAAACTTAACAATCTCCACAACGTTGAACTAATCTTTCTTATTCAAATATTAGCCAATCAGAAAACAGTCTTGAGATGGTGGAGAAGATTTGTAGCTCAGTTGGACGTCGAGGTGTACAGAACAATCTGTGAAATGCATATGGAGAAATTTGAACACTTCACTTCTATCTGAAGTCTGTGCTGATGATGTCGTTCAGAAGAACGATGACCAAACCATCCAGCTCAAAGAACAAAACGCCATCAGAAAACAGTCTGTATAAAGTCAAAGTATATTATACAAAACCAAAGAAATATAGTGAATATACTTCTTTTATATGGTTCAAAAACTTGTCTAAAGTCGTAATGCATACGGTAGAGGAAATCATCTATATGGCTCTATAATAGTTGACCTCTGGAGACATGGTGAGATCTCGAAAACTCTTTGAACCTCGACCACATAGCTTTAATATTGTTTGTGTGCACTCCGGTTGTTAGGTCCACAAAATGTCACTTGTGGATAACGAGACGATGCACATAATCAAGTCTATGTAAGCATCTGTACTCTATCCAATCATCCGTATATATTGTAGTACACGGCTGTAGCCAGTGTTACTGGTGCTTTCATTATCCAGTTCGCAATTTACCTTAGTTTCAATCTGGATCGAGTGAAAAAATCTTATTCTAACAAACTTCTTTCTCCAACATAGATTACATCGAAAGACAACATCATCACGGTAGTTTTCACAAATCGTGTGATTAACACAATTACAAGTAAAGGAACTTCTTAGTAGTCCCATTTGTTGTAATCGCTCAGTTATCACGTTTTTTCTAAATTCCGCTGTGAACCGATCGTACATGAGTATCAGGTACTGAAATTGGCGCTCTGACCCTGAAATCCATCAAACGCTTCTGATTGACTCGTCCATAAATTATAGTCTCACCACTGTTCTAAAACTCTACCACACATAAAAGAATCTATTCTAAGCTTACTTACTTACTTGCTTATGCTTGTTACCCTTCGTGATGGAGTATAGACCATCCATCAGCATTCTCCATCCAACTCTATCCTGAACAATCTTTTACAATTGTATTCAGTTGCTATTCATCCATTTGATGTTTGCTTCTAATTCCCAACGTAGTGTGTTCTTTGGCCTCCTAATTTTCCGTTTCCCTTTAGGATTTAAAGTTAGGCCTAGCCTCGTGATGTAGTTGGATGATTTCCTCAATGTGTATTCTATCCATCTTCATCATACTTTCTTAATTTCATCTTCACTTGGAAGGTGATTTTTTCTCTACCACAATAGGCTAGTTGTACACAGTAATTAAATTAATACAAACTGATTAAGAAAGAGTCTGCATTTTCAGTATAAGATTTTGATGATTGTTGAGGTTTGATTGAGATCATGAATCGTTGAATATTAGAGCTCCATTAAAAACCTGGAGGCACTAGATGTCTGTTTCGAATCATGTGTGTGGGATCGTGGATATACACTGCTGAACAATCTCATACTAGGAAGAGACGGTCAACCAGTGCTTCCAGGTTTTCAATAATGCTCTAACATTGATCAATTTATGATCTCAATCAAAAATCTACATATTAGAATAGATGGAAACGTGTGATATATATTCATATTTGTAAAGTATAGTATTACTTCCATTTACAGTAAATCATAGAAACGTATACACATTTGCATTTTCATATCACATATTGCAAATCTTATAGTTAAAATTGTAAGGAGTGTAGAAATGAGCCAATCAGAATCGAGTAAAGCGTCTTGCGCGAAATTCAAAAGGGAGGAACTTTTATTTCATATAATAGAAAGAGATGAGTTACTTACTTACGCTTGTAACTCCTAATAGAGCATAGGTCGCCGACCACCAATCCCCAACCCACTCTGTCCTGAATTTTCCTTTCTAGTTCTATCCAAATTTTTGTACATTCTTCTAATATCTGTCTCCATTTCTTTAAAATTCCTCTTCTCCTTTGAACTTGAGGATTTCAAGTGAACGCTTGCATTGTCACGCACTCGGGTACTTTCCTCAATGTGTATCCTATCCACTTTCAGCACTTCTTCCTGATTTCTTCTTCCGATGCAATCTGTTTTGTTCTCTTCCACAGTAGATTGTTGCTGATAGTATCTGGCCAACGGATCCGAAGTATTTTGCGTCGGCAATTGGTAATAAACACCTGTATCTTGTAGATGATAGCTTTCGTTGTTGTCCAAGTTTCCACCCCATAGAGTAGAACTGTTTTGACATTGTCATTAAAAATTCTGACCTTGGCGTTGGCTGATAGAGAGTTGTTTTGAGTTCCAGATGTTCTTCAATTCTAGATATGCTGCTCTTGCTTTGCCGACCCGCCTAGAGCCCCCTCTAGGGTTACTATCGGTCGTAAGTTCGGATAAAGGAGAAGGGTTGAGCATGGGGTTAGCGACCCCAGTTCCTGTTTAACACTAACTCGCTCAAAAAACTTTAACGAGAAAAAATAATTCAAACTATTTAATGTAAATAGTTTCAAGCTTATTTATCCCGTTAACTATTTATTTAATTTTCAGAAAACTGCTTATTTGTTGTTATTGTGAACTGGATTTATCTGCATCCCAGAGTTGATATTCACTCCGGGGCTCGAACACAGTACTGTTCGCTTCAAATGCTATTACATCATCCACTTATATACATGAATGTAATTACACTGGTCGTAGATTTGTTATCTTACAAAATACTAAATCACAGTTTGATCAATAAAATTCGATCAACATTATAGAGTAGACAAAGATGGCATTAGTAAATATTCCACTTCTACCGGGAAATAGTCACGATCCGAATAGCTCAATGGAAACTTCTGAAACTGTGACACTGGCTTGTGTGGATTAGAATCTCACAAAAATCACCAGTCGCATCATTATTTCAAATACATCTTATTAGCGAGTGTTAGTTAACACGAAACTTAGATCATCTAAGGATTCGTATGGTCAGTCAGTCATATTCAGTTATAAACGTTCTAGAACTTGATAATGATGTGTATCGATCCGATCTGCTTCTTAGAAGATTCTCAGCTACCATCTACCTCATTCTTGAAATCTTTTTCATTTCAAACATGTTCTTCATAAAACAGCTCTACATATCGTTGTCTATAGACGAAAGCTAACATTTGGATAAACATACCTATTGCATTTTCGTCAGGTTATTCACAATAAAATTGATTTATTTATAAACAGTTAACCAATAGCTGTCCACACTCGGAATAATCACCTTTGAGATGATGATATGCTACTAATCTTTTACAGAAATCTGACAAAATCTCAGCACGGGCGCGAAAAGCTGGTTTAGCTTTTACCAACTTACGTCACCTATGGCGGAGGCGAGATATCCGTCTGTCAATTAAGGGACGAGTATACTGTGCAGCACTTCGTTCTGTTTTAATTTATGGCTGCAAAATGTGGTTATTAAGAGTATAGAATATTCGTAAGCTACTAGTATTTGACTACAGAAATGCCTTAGAAATATTGCTTGCAACCGCTGGGATCACCGGGTAAGTAATAGTGAGTTTAGACGCAGGGTATTAGGGAACGATGGTAAATCAGTTGATGAGACTGTGAATCTTTATCTATTGAGATGGTTGGTTCACGTGTCATGTACGCTTGAACACCGATTACCACGATGCTCAATGTAGACTAGTGTTGGGGACGGTTGGAAGAAAGTTAGGGGCGGCCAAACCAAAACGTGGCATCAGTCCTTGAAGTCACTAAATTCCAGTCTGAACTATGTTGGTAGATGCAGACTACTTGTTTGGTGTTCGCGTGACTATCGTAACCAATGATTGGAGACCCTGAGTGATACGGGTCAGAATCGATCACAATGGCGTAGGTGTATACACTCACTGTCTTCCCTTAAACTAAGAGATTAAAATCGCTTCATATCTTTATTTCTACGTCCTAAATCTTTCTTCCTGTACTATACCCTTATTGCAATCTTTCTTTTCTATATCAGCACCCTTGATTTGACTACTCCTATGAATCCAGTGTTCATCTTGTTGTGTTAATGAGGTATGGCAACTTGAACCGACGGATATATGTACCTGGTCCTACATTGTAGCTGACTGACCGACTGACTGACTCCAACGTTTTAAGTAACTGATTTTGTAAATTATATTTTAAACTCTTTTCACTTGATTATGTAATCTTCTTATTCTCTGATTGCAATTGTATTCTTCATTATTATGTAACAATAACTACCTTAGATAATCACTTTCTTTTTAATTTTGAAAATAATGAATATGAATTAACATTTCACTTGAAACAACATCAAATAAATTGTGCAAATGTATTGTGTATTCGAACTATACAATTCTATATAGTGAAGAATAAAAACATGCTTACTCTATGTTCCATTTACTTAGCTAACATCGACTTAAAACACTGATCTATACTTACCCACTTACTTACTTACGCCTGTTATCCTTCGTGGAAGAGTATAGGCCACCCACCAGCTCTCTCTATCCAACCCTGTCCTGAGCAATCTATTCTAGCTTTATCCAG